TGAGGTTTCAGATGGACTAGTGTTCTGGTGGGGTGTGCGGTGGGGAACACCCACCCCGACGAGGATGGGGACGTCTCCCGAATCCTCCAGGTCGCCTTGCTAGCGTTCCACCGACAAAAAACTGAGATCAGATGGCCGCAACCAAAGGGAAAGTATAGAAAAGACAGGCGGACAAACACAGTTTTACAAAAACTTACCCGGCCGGTTGATCACAAACCGTTTGGGGTCAGTTCATCTCAGAGATCTCTGGGGGGGATCCTGGACGAGCCCCCAAATGTTGTACTTCATCCACTGGACCCCAAAAAGACCACCAAGGACCCAACACACCAAAATGCAAAAGCAAAGGTTTATGGTTTATTCGGGCTTAAGCTTGGGCGCTCAGACCTCACCAACTCAACGGATCCGTGCTGAGAGCCCAGAGTAAGGGAGAGTGGAGCCTTTTATAGGTTTTAGACAAAGGGGGGGGGGGTAACTGAAGATACATTTTGGTTGGTTCAAGGAGCCCGCGTGCGCCAACATAATTTTAAACCGATTGGATATATAAGGTGCAGCCCTGGAAGTTTCTTATTGGTAAGTGCTATTCTCAGGGCTGTGGAATGTGCTGACTGTTACCTGTGGGGCCAGGAGTCTCCGTTTTTACCTTATAGAGCAGTTTTCATGCCCAGGCTTGCTTAATCTATAGTTTCCTGGAAGGGGGGTATAGCAGGTGGGGGTCAGGGCATGCTATGGCATGTCTAGGCATGTCTAAAGCAGCAGCCAAGCATTTTACAGAAGCTAAAAGAGCAATTAGTGGGGGTCTGGAGGGATTGGGGGGTAGCGGGTGAATGAAGAGAGTCTCAGGGTTCTACACTGCTTCAATTGCTGGATTTTCTATCTTTAAAGGACCAAAAACCCATCTCTGCATAACCCCCCTCAGTGTCTCCCTGCTTCAGACATCCCTGTTCCTTGTGAGACTTCTGTCGTACTCACTCTCCCCAGCTCTTCCTGAGCAGGAGTTAAGTACCCAGGAGGCCTGAGATGAGGCAGGAAAACAGTCAACAGCTACATAAACATGTACTGCCACAGTCTGTGAGAGTTAGGTAAGATGTGGAGGGGAGACAGGAATTCATTTAAATAGGGTGGTCAGAGAAGGCAGCATGAGGAGCAAAGCTGGTGTTTAAACTGATGTCAGACTGTCTGGTTTGCGTAGAGATTCCCAGGCAGAAAGCTCTAGAAGGCTGAGAGGAGTGGAAAGAGAGATGAAATTAGAGAGGTGGTTAGAGAGGGACCTGCATGTGCTTGGAATCTTAATCCAGGTACTAAGGGAGAGCCCTGAAAGGTTTTAAACTGGCGAGTGCCGTTGTCCATTTTGTATTTGAGAAGTTGACCAAGATACAGAGAAGGGAGATTAGAAGAGGCCTGGGGGTTCCAGCTAAAGGGTTGTTGATGGTGAGCTGATCTAGATGGCTGCATGTGTATGAACTTGAACAGACTGGAGAGATGGGTTGTAGAGGTGGACTAAAGATTTGGTGGTAGATTACTACTCAGTCAGGAACAGGGGGTTCCAAGGTGGATATTCAGGGTAAGCACCTGCTTGCTAGTACCCTAATCTCCGTTCCAGCTGGACAGGTGCAACCACAACCAAGTTTTCAGTAATATACCTTGTTGGTTTATAATGGGGTAGCTGGAGGTGCCATTCACCAAGAGGAGAAAAAAGAGGAAAAGTGAATTGAAAAGAATTTGGATTGTGTGTGTGTGTGTGTGTGTGTGTGTGTGCACGCACGCACACGTACACACCCATGTACTCCACCACTGAGATACACCCCCAACCAAGTTCGGGTTTTGTTGAGCTAGTTCAAGAGCCAGCAAAATGCAGATCTCAGCCTGGCAGTTGGGTATAACACATGGAGCTGGAACATCAGCACACTGTTGGAATTTAAAGCCAGGGGATCAGAATGTATGTGCTGTCGCTTGAGCCTGACTATGGGCCCATTACTTAGCCAGCATGTAATCAGAAAAATAGCAAAGAGATGCAAAAGCAGGCCCCTGGAGCAGGGCAGTCAGAAGGATGTGGGACGGGGAGTTCAGGTAGGTAAGAAGGAAGCTGTAGTGGGGTTTATAAAGACAGTGAGCCTTGAGCGCAGGCAAAGTCAGCTCCTGGTCAAGTCTGCAGACTCCCTGGGGGAGATAGCACAGCATCCTGCCTGAAGAAGGGGGAAACTGACCTCCCCCCTTAAGGCTTTTATCCTACATATCCCCACATTCAGTCAGTCTTCCTATGACAGTATTCCCAGAACACTCTTTGCACACATGTGGCTGTGTTTCCCCTAAGCAAGGATGCCTCTCAAATGCAGGACAGACACCTGGCCTGTTGCCTTTCTTCTACTTTGCTGGCAGTGCAGCTGTTTTAACAATTGAGGCATGTATGCCCTCTGTTGGTCTGTTCTGAAACTGCAATTAAACAGAGCTCCTTTGCACTCCTGCCTGTGTCGACTCAGGCTCTGTGGGGTGTTAGTCAGCCCTCCAGATCAGGGGCTTCTGTCTGTTAGAATTCAGCTTCTCTCTGAAGGAAAATGTGGTTAGGCCTATGATGATGGTTCTGTGCTGAACACACAGATTATTTTTTCTTTTTAAAAATATTTTCTTATTTCTTTTTTGTTGACTTAGTCCCCCAAAGAATACACTCCAACAACTGCTTACATTGTGTTAGTACTCTGAAGCACTTCCAGGAGGGTGTGGATAGCTGTATGTAAATATCATGCCATTTTACATAAGAAGGGCCTTAGTGTCTGTGGGTTTTGCTATCCTCAGAGCCCTGGAAGTAATCCCCTGTGAATACCAAGAAATGACTGTAACCTAAAAAAAGGCCCGCAAGGTACTCTAGGTGCTCTTGAAAGAGAGCTGTAGTGCCAGCCAAGGTGGGAGACAACACGAGAAACGGAAGTAAAGCAGGCTTTGGAGAGTCCCATTTAAAAGATGAGGAACAGCCTTGGGCAACAAAAACTGAGTCCCAGTACAGGCTTTCAAAGCTACACTGCACTTCTGTGTGCTTTAGAATTACTGCAGAATGCAAATATAAAATACTTGTTAAACAGGGGTGGAGAGATGGCTCAGTGGTTAAGACACTGGCTGCGTTTGCAGAGGACCCAGTTTCAATTCCCGGCATATTTGTTATCTTTATTTTATGTGTATTTATTATTTTTATTTTATGTGTATGAGTGTATTGCCTCACATATATAAGTGTACCTGTGTCTTGCAATGCCCACGGGCATCAGAAGAGGGCATTGGATCCCCTGGAACTAGAGTTACAAGCAATTGTTAGCTGCCATGTGGGTGCTGAGAACTGAACCTGGGTCCTCTGCCAGAACAGCCAGTGCTCTTAACTGCTGAGCCATCTCTCCATTCCATCCCCTCAAAAAAAAAGATTTTTTTTAAAGTAAGCATTAAATGTCTTTCTGTTACAACCTTTGTTTTGGACCATTAAAGGGAGGATCTCAGGAAATCAGATATTCATTCACTCTTTCATTCAACAATTATTTACTGAACACGTACTATGTGTCCACCCCACTCTTTGTGACGGGGATACAGTTGTGTTCAAAGCAGACAAACATTTCAACCTCACGTTCTCATGTGACTGACAGATAATAAGTAAGTTTTAAAATCCTTTCAGAAAAATAAATAAGATAAAATATCATGTGTTAGCAACAGGAGCAAGAAGAGACCCAGGAGCAGCAGGGAAGGGATATGAAAATGGCGACTAGGAAGAGGTGAGCCAAAGGAGTTGAGGAAAGAGAAAAGGCTGAACATGTAGATCCGAGTGCAGAGATCCCAGCGGAGGCTGGGAAGGCAGGGGGACAATGAGCAGGCCAGTGTGCTACACACATTGAGCGCTACCAGTCCAGACACCCTGCAAGTCAGCGGAAGGACTTTAGAATCTGGCTGTCTTGGGGTGGCTTCAGGAGGAGTTCTGGAGTAATCTGCTCTATATTAACATGATTCTAGCTGCTGAAGACTGTGAAACAGGACAGCCAGTGAGATGGCGCCTCAGACATGAGATGACTTTGTGGGTCACAGACTCTTAGGAGAACCAGATGTGGGTTTTGAGACAGAGATGTCCAGAATGGCACCAGCTGTTTGTGAAGCTGGAAGAATCAAGTGTTGCTGAGATGAGGAAGGCTACAGGAGCACAATGGGGGGCAGAGGGGCTACAGACATATTAGCAAGGGGTTCCCAGATGGAGAGTTCAGGTTAGGGACCCATTGTGTGGATTTAGAGCTAAGTAAGGTAGAGCTGGAGATAGAGACTTGGACATTATCATCACTCAAATGATATTTAAATTCATGCCATGAGGTAACTGAAGGAATACATTTAAATGGAAAAGTCCAGATATTTCAGAAATGAGCCCTATAACTCTTGGATAGAGGTTTAAAGATAGGAAGGCAGGGTCAAATGAAAAAGACATAAAAATATATCTGGGCCTTGGTGGCACAGGCCTAGAACGCTCGCTATCTGGGAGGCTAAGGCAAAAGGATCACATGTTCAAGGTCAATCTGGACAATTTAATAAGACCCCATCTCAAAAAGTAAAAAAAAAAAAAAAGGGAAGTGCGGTGCTAAAGATATAGCTGTGGAAGAGTATTGTCTAGAGGCTCTAGGTTCTGTGCCCAGTACCACAAAAGAAAGAAGAGAGGACAGAAAAAAAGGAGGGTTCATGGATATCAAATGAAGAACATTATTTAAGAGAGCCTAGAGGAGCACACCTGACATCCACCACTGGGGAAGCTAGAGCAGAAGATAGTTCAAGGCCAGGCCATCCTGGGCTAATGGGGTCCTATCTCAGAGTGGAGGGGTGAGGGAGAAGGGGAAGGGGAGAGAGGGGAGAAAGGCAGAGGAAAGGAAGGGGAGAGAGAGAGATGGGGGTCGGAGGGAGAATAGCTCATTTGTCCAGTGCTGTAGGTTGAACGAGGACTGAGACTACTCCTTTACTTACAGTAAAATCTATTGTTTCCCCCCACACCCCAGGTTGTGGCAGATACCAATATAAGCGCCATAGCAACTCAGCTTGAAAACCTGTCCACAGGTTCCCACCTTGGCTCACCCACTGCGGACCACCATCCAGAAGACACGGAGTGAGTATTCTAGATGCAGAGTGCTTCCTGTGTAGTAGGGCCTGCTCCTGAGAACGTCCAGGTTGGGGGGGGGGCATGCATGCTGTGTTCCCCAGTTCCTGAGAGGGTACAGGGTGCCAGGGCTTCCCATTCTGCACAAGGCTATTTCGCCCCAGGAGTTCTTCAGAGACCATAACTTTAGGGTCTGCACTCACACTGCTTCTGTGCCCTCCACCCTAAGAAACTGCAGGTTTATATCCCCGGTGCATGCTGCTCTGTGGTGCAAGAGCCATGTTTTACAACTCACTAAGCGAAAACCTTGTTCTGAGCTGAAACCTTACTGTCCTGTTAACTGGCATGTTTCCTGAAAGTTAGTCACTGCAATCAAAGTTGTTTATTAACAACTTTCTAGAATATACAGAAGAAAGAGGACAGGCAAGATGGCTCAGTGAGTAAAGGCACTTGCCACCTGAGTTCAATCCCCAGTACCCACACTCTGACTTCCACATGCCTTTACGTGCACACACACGTGCCCCCTCCCCCCCCACAATAAATAAAAGTAAAACGTAAATTAAGAGCCGGGCATGGTGGTGGTGCATGCCTTTAATCATAGCACTTGGGAAGCAGAGGCAGGCGGATCTCTGTGAGTTCAAGGCCAGCCTGGTCTACATAGTGAGTTCCAGGACAGCTGGGGCTACAGGGAGACCCTGTCTCAAAAAAAAAAGTAAATTAAAGAGGAACAGGAATATGTTCTTAAGACAATGACTCCCAGGACCCTATTCTTAGAGATTCTGAGGAGAGGGTCTCCAGTAGATTGAGAACTCTGTTCCCCAGGGTGACTGTCACAGACAGGCAGAGCAGCTGTACTTTGAGAACTGCTGCCCGGAGCTGTTCCTCACTGCACTGTCAGCGCCTGGTCACTATGAGGCATTCAATAAATATTTTCCTGGTTGATAGTTCATTTAAAGTTATGATCACGGCCATTCCCATGTTTGGGTTCTTTGTTTTGGGGGGCTTTTTTTTGGATAAATTATACTTTTGATTATGTTTGTTGAGGAAAGAATAAGTTCATTCTACTTTTTCTCATTATAAAAGTGGTACACGCCATTAAAATATGACAAAATACAAAAATAGCATTTTTAAGCTCCCATGGCCCTTTTATCAGAGGGGCTGGGGATGTAGCTGCATTGGTAGAGTGCTTACCTAGCATGCATGAAGCCCTGGGTTCCTTCCCCAGCACCACATAACACTGAGCATGTTAGCACACACTTATAATCCCGGTACTGGAGAAGTGAAGGCACGAGGATCAAAAGTTCAAAGCCATTGTTGGTTATACAGTGAGTTTCAGCCCAGCCTGGGCTGCATGAGACCCTATTTAAAAATAAAAATCAGACTGGGTGTTGTGGTGCACATGTGTAGTCCCAGCACTCAGGAAGCTAATGTAGAAGTTTTGCATGTTAAAGACTGTCCTGAGCTACATAATGAAACCTGTCTCAAAAAATAAAACTGACCTTTGCAGAAGAGTAGTATACTATTGGCATCCTTTGATGCAGCTGTAGCAGCAGAACTGCCACGTTATCTGGTCCACAGCTTCTGGGGCTAGCTCTAACTTGGACATCTCAGTTCCTCTTCCAACGCCCTTGAAAATGGGGGCTGCATTTGATAGAGGAAACATGGGGTCGGGAGAGATGACTCTGCAGTTAAAAGCACTGGGTGCTCTTTCAGAGGACCTAGGTTCAGTTCCCAGTACCCCCATGGCAGCTAAAAACCTTCCATAACTCCAGTTCCAGGGGATCCAACACCCTCTTCTGGTCTCTAAGTACTTACATACATGCACGCAAAACACTCATATACATAAAAGAAAAATAAAAAATAATTTTTTAGCCGGGCGTGGTGGCACATGCCTTTAATCCCAGCACTCGGGAGGCAGAGGCAGGTGGATCTCTGTGTGTTCGAGGCCAGCCTGTTCTACAAAGTGAGTTCCAGGCCAGTTGGGGCTACAGGGAGTCCCTGTCTGTCTCAAAAAGACCAAAGAAGATTATTAATCACTATGTAGACCAAGCTGGCCTCGAACTCACAGAGATCCGCCTGCCTCTGCCTCCCGAGTGCTGGGATTAAAGGCATGTGCCACAATGCCCGGCAAGAAAAATAAAATTTTTTAAAAAAGAAATAGGAAACATGAATTAAGTCCACCTGGTAAGCCATCACTGAGTGCTTGTAAGGCCCCAGAGTACTGAGAGGTCTAACCTCATTCATGTCATCATCCCTGTTCAACTATAGGGATAATTCATCATCACCATTTAAACAGATATTTATTGAGCACCTCTCTAAGACCAGGTATTATACTAGTTCTGGATTCAAACAGAGAAATGTAGGTAAAAATACTGCCCTAGCCCTTAAGAGGAAAAGAGACCCATGCTGACGTAAGGGTTTGTAAGGGTGGGAGGGCTGAGTTCAGAGAGAGCAGGCCTATAAAGCATGGCCATGATACCTGACTTGTAGAAAGTAGGCGATGCTGAGCTTTAAAAAACTGGGGTAAGTAGGGTGGCATTAACAAAATTCTGCCATTCATATAGCATAGACAGTCAGCAGTCACTATGGATGCCTGATGTAAACAACTATTATATCAACAAACAACTAATATTAGTGTTAACCAGCTGAAAACTAACCCAAAATAAGCTAGGCAAAGTTGGGGGGAAGTGTTCTACCCAGAACAGCATATGCAAAGGTCACTTATCTCCTTTCGCAAGTTTCTCTGATATTATGAGTAGCTGAGTTCATAACAGGTAACTGCCTCTCAGACACACATGTTGCCTCAAAACAAGATATATTGCCAATAGCAAAATGTGTATCTCCTTGAGCCAGGCATGGTAGCACACACTTGTAATCCCAGCACTTGGAAGACAAAGAGTACCACTGTGAGTTCAAGGCCAGCCTGATCTATACAGGGAGTCTCAGGCCAGTTACGGCTGAGAGAGGTGGAGGGAGGGAGAGAGAGAAAGAGAGAGAGAGAGAGACACTAAGAACTTTCTACCACAAATCACACCGTAGGAACTGGGATCCCAAGCTTTTACCCTTAGGACAACAGTAATTGGGAATAAGGACTGGAATATAGCCTAGTCGGTAGAGCACTTGCCTAGCATGCACAAAGGCTTTAGTTTATCCCCAGTACCACATAAAACTAAGCACGGTGTTGCACACATCTAATTCCAATGTTGGGAGATAGAGGCATAAGGATCAGAAGTTCAAAGTCATCTGCTACGTAGTGCCAGCATTAGCTACCTGATACCCTGTTTCAAAAGAAAATGACATTCGGGAATAAGAAATGGGCCTCAGGTAAACTGAGATTAAGTGGCTTAAGCCCACATTAGGCAATTTAATTTTTAGAAATGTTGTCTGAGAGAGAAGACTTCCACACTGTTGAAACTTTGAAAACCTTAATTGCACATTTGAAGCAGATTTTCTTTATCCGTCTTGCTTTACCCTGATTTCCCGCCTCTCTCCTGGACTTTAGTTCTTGCTTTACATGGTCATGATCATGAGTTTGAGTCAGTTACAACAAAAGTACTGGGAACACCTGGGTAGCGAAGACTGAAGGACTTGCTATCGGGTACAGGGTAGAGATGGCTACTAGGGTATGTGTAATCAGTACCAAGTGCAGAAGGACAGAGTTCATCTTCCTGAGGAACACAGGAGAACCCCCCACTGGAGGTGAGCTTAGAGGGGAGCATTCTCATCCTAGGGTAAGTGCTCGGAGTGCTCAGGCAAGATAGAGGTAGACTCAGGGCCAGCTGGAGACTGCAGGCTCCCGCCACACCGACATGGCACTTTACATCCCTGACCATGCACATTCCGACATTTCCTTCAGCTTTAAACAGTTTAAGCATTTACAAACTGGGGCTGGGCTTGGTGGCCCATACCTTTAATCCCAGTACTTGAGAGGCAGAGGCAGGCAGATTTCTGTGAATTTGAGGCTATCTTGGTCTACATGACATGTTCCAGGCCAGCCAAAAACAAAATAACACACACACACACACACAAAGAGTTTAAAAACTGCCAAAGTATTTCATGGTCTAAGATCAAAAGTAAAAACTGCTGGGCATGGTGGTAGCTGACTCCTGCAATCCCAGCACATGGGAGGCTGAGGTAGGAAAGATTGCTGAGTTCAAGGCCAATCTGGGCTACAGAGTGAGTTCCAGGTCAACTTGAGCAAGAATTGAAAACCCTGCTTTAAAACAGGGTGGGGAGAGTCAGCAAGATAGTTCAGCAGGTAACACCACTTGCCACTAAGCTTAATGACCTGAGTTCAATCCCCAGAACCCATATGGTAGAAGGAGAGAACCAACCCCTAAAAAATCCTCTGACCTTCACACTCAAGTGTGTATACAAATATATTGTTTTTTTACTTTATGCGCATAGTGTTTTGCCTGCATGTGTGTAAGTGTATCATGTGCATTCAGTGCCCACAGAGGCCAGAATAGGGTGTCAGATCCCCTGAACTGAAGTTATGGACAGTTGTGAGCCACCTTGTGGGCACTGGGAACTGAACCAAGGTCTTCTGCAAGAGCAGTAAATGCTCTTAACCAGCCATCTCCAGCCTCAAATGTGTATGTGTGTGTGTGTATATATGTTTAAAAACTAGGCAGAGCCTTGTTGCATATGCCTATAATCCCAGATATTCAGGAGGCTGAGGCAGGAAGATCACAATTTCAAGGCCTGCCTGGGCTACATGGTGACCTTTGGTAACTTGGTGAAACCCTGTCTCAAAATGAAAGGAAAATAAAGTAAAAATGGACTAGGGATGTAACTCAGTGGTAGAGCACCTGCCTAGCAGATATAAGGTCCCAGCAGCGCCCCCACAGACAAGAAGATGCCAGCCTATATAGAAAGACCCTCTCTGAAGAAAAGAAAATAAACAAAGCAAATAACTAAGAACTAAGCAAAGAGCCAGGCACAGTGGCTCATGCCAGGAATTCCAGAACATGGGAGGTAGAGGCAGGAAGATGAAGAGTGCAAGGCCAGCCTGGGCTACATGAGAAAGAAGAGTTAAATTTAGAAAAGGGTGCTTGACACTTTCAGCATCATGACTGTTTTTATTAGAAAGCAGTGAACTCCATGGGAGAGAAAAACCCTAAACCACAAGAATGTTGGTGATGAGTTGACATGGCATGGAAAATTTAAAACAAAGTTTCTCGATTGCTTGTTAAGAGTTCGGTTTGATAAACTGATACCTGACACTCATAGCTTCACAGTATGAAAGTCTCTCTCAAATCTGTGCTCTTCCATTGAAATGAAACTCCCTTTCGGTGTCTATTCTGGAATTAAACAGCATGCATTGTGCTTTCAGAACACCTCCACCTAAGATTATTACTTTGGAGAAAGGCTCTGCAGGATTGGGGTTTAGTGTTGTAGGGGGTTATGGAAGTCCCCATGGAGACCTGCCAATTTATGTCAAGACTATATTTGCAAAGGTATTTTTTTTTCCTTTTTACTGTACTTTTTTAAAAAAATCAAAACTAGGTGAGATTTTTTTAAGTGCTTTGTATTGCTTTACTGTGGTTGTACTTGGATGTGTGTGTATGTCTGCTTATTTCATTTAGGTCTTTTAGGAAGCCCACACACCAGTGAAGGAAGAGTTCCTTTACAGTAGTGGAGCCCCAAGAACCATAGTTTTCTTTGGAGTCCAGTGCAGCAGCTGATGCTCACAGACCTGAGGAGTGTCTTCTTCCATCAGCACCATAGGGAAGGCAGCGCCATGGTCTGGAAGCTGACCTTGGGATTGTTGTTGTAGGCTTTAAAAAGATTGGACTCTGTCCTTTAAGAAATGTATCAGGGGGCTGGAGAGATGGCTCAGCAGTTAAGGGCACTGGCTGCTTTTATAGAGGACCTGGGTTTGGTTTCCAGCACTCACATGATGGCTAACAACTGTCAAGAACTCCAGTTCCAGGGGATCCAATGCACTTCTGGCCTCTGAGGGCATTTCATGACATGTGTTTACTTACATACGTGCAGGTAAAACACTCATATACATAAAGTAAAAATAAATAAATACATAAATAACTTTTTAAAAAGAAAGACTATCAGGGGCCAGGCATGCCTCCGGCACTCAGAAGGCAAAGGCAGGAAGATCTTTGTGAATTCAAGGCCAGTTTGGTCTACATAGCAAGTTCCAGGACAACAACAACAAAAAATTCATCTAAAAAAAGAGACAAGGGAGGGGAGAGAGAAAAAGGAGGGAGGAGTAGGAAGAAAGGCCGGATGACTATCAGGGCTGTAGAGATGACTTACTGGGTAAAGCACCTGTTTTGCAAGCATGAGGACCTGAGTTCAAATCCCAGTACTCACATAAGGCATGTGTCTGTAATCCCAGCACTGTAGGACAGAGACAGGCAGGACCCAGGGGCTCTCAGGACAGCCAGTCCAGCCAAGGTTCAGTGAGAGACAACATCTCAAACAATAAAAGTAGAGAATGGTAGAAGACAACACCCAACATTAACCTCTGGCCCCCACATGAACACATACAGAGCAGCACACACACACAGATACATGCACATTCATATACCACACACACAAAAGATGGACTCAGGCAGCAGAGGGCTGAGGCAGAAAGCTCTGTACAAGCCTCAGATCACCTCAGGATTGTCAGCTTAGGAAGTTTCTCTTGCCCACTGCTCTACCAGTTTCTTAATGTTAGACAACACTGGATAATATAGTTTTTCAGGAATTAAACACTACTTCCGAGCCAAGTGTGGTAGCACACGCCTGTAAAATCCCAGCACTCAGGAGGCTGGCACAGAAGGATCACTCTAAGTTCAAGGCCAGCCTGAACTACATAGTGAAAGCATCTCAAACAAGACAAAACAAACACACATAAACCTCACACTACTCCCAACAGGTCCCAGTCACGCCATGAACAGGCCACAGGTGTCCACTCCTCCCGCTACCTCTACATGGAGTCTGGAGTTATTAAACGTCAGTGTGAGTTTTAAAATTAGAATTTAGGGATTGGAGAGATGGCTCAGTGGTTAAGAACACTGGTTGTTTTTGCAGAAGACCCAGGTTCAAATCCCAGCACCCACATGACAGCTAACAACTGTCTGTAACTCCAGTTCCAGGGGATCCGACAGCCTCTTCTGACCTCTGCAGGCACTGCACGACACGGTTGCACTTACCTATATGCAGGCAATACACGCGTACACATAAAATAATAAATTTTTTTAAAAATTAGAACTTAATCTTATAAGTTTTGAAGATCTGTGAAAACTACTTAGGATAACTATCTCAACTCTTTGTTTCATTTATTTATTCACTGATTCATTCATTTTGTAGCCCAGGCTTGCCTTGAGCTCACTATGTAGGGAAGGATGACCCTGCCTGAACTCTTATCTTCCTGACTCCACCTGCTGAGTGCTAGAACTACAGGCTCATGTTACCACACCTGACTTCTCATAAATTGGTTGATTGATTTTAATCACAGTCATTTCTTTACTAACTGACCCAGTGGCCTTCTACTGAATTATTTCCCTAAACAAATAAAGTCCTTATTCAAAATACAGTATATGAAATTTTCAAATTAATAAAAATTTAAAAAAGAAAGTAAGGCCAGATGTACTGGCACACCCTTTAATCCCAGCACTTGGGAGGCAAAGGCAGGTAGATCTCTGCAAGGCCAGCCTGGTCTACATAGCAAGTTCTAGGCTAGCCAATGCCACAGGAAGACTCTGTCTCAAAAAACCTAAATAAATAAATAATCTTGAAAAGAAGTAAGATAGATCCTGTTTCTTTCTAAAAAGTTGTGCTACATAGTAATGCAAGCTTGCTATTTCAGGTACAGGTCTTTGATAACTGGGACCCTGAGATCTGACACGGAACCTTTAAGTAAATATGTATTTACTTTGGACAGCACTGGGCAGCTGTAGATTTGCCCATTTGTTTCATCTCAGTAGAGTGCCAATTTAGAGGGCAAGCTATTCCCAAACACACACTGTTGAACTGCAGCTAGTCAGAGGGTGGGAAGACAGCTTAGAAATGTAGGGACCAGTGGAGCCCAGCCGAGAGCCCCCCAGGGAAAGGCAGTGGAAAGGCTAAGAGGAAGCCCTGGTTTTAACAAGTCCTACCAGCCTGCCTCCACCTCCATGATCCTCATAGCATCACTGGCTCACTTCATGATAACCATGGCCATAGTCCAGAAGGTCAGCTCATAGGCCTGTAAGGGCCTTTGGTGGCCTTGGGCCAGAGTGCAGTCTGCTAGCCTCTGCACCTGTCTGCACTTCACAGAGGCCAGTGTAGGTGGTGGTGTCACCAGTACATATAGCTCAAAGTGACATGACCATGCATTGCTGGCACATTTAAAAGAAACCATCACCCAGGTGTGGTGGCATATGCTTATAATCCCAGTATTTGGGAGGCTGAGGCCTGTGAGGATTGCCAAAAGTTTGGAGCAAGTCTAGGCTACAGAGTAAGGCACTAAAAAAAAAAAAAAAATAGAAGTAATAAAACAATAAAAGAAACAACCGTCAAGTGAGAGTGGGATGAGGAGTGGACTACAGTGCCCTCAGGAAGCCGTTGGAAAGGTCCCTGGAAAAGCCTCGCTTAGAAGAAGCTGTGTGAGCAACAGCATTTAGTGATAACTGTTCACTCTCCTTGGTAAGTTTTGTTGTTGGCTGTTTGTGTGATGGAATCTCAGTTAGCCCATGTTGGCCTTGAACTCACCATGTAGCCAAGGATGACCTTGCATTCCTGATCCTCCTGACTCCATCTCCAAAGTACTAGAACTGAAGATATGAGTTATGTCTAGCTTTTTTTTTAATTGGTATGTTTAAAAAAATTATTATTTTTATTTTATGTGTATGAGTATATTTTATATATATGAGTGTATTGCCTGCATGTATGTAAGTACACCTGTGTCATGCAGTGCTGAGGAGGTCAGATCCCCTGGAACTGGTGTTACAAACAGTTGTTAGTTAGGAATTGAACCCAGGTCCTCTGCAAGAGTAGCCAGTGCTCTTAACCATTGAGCCATCTCTCCAGCTCCTCATATTTTAATTTTTAAGGAATGTGACATTTTTAGTCACTTTTTTAGTGAGGCATGTTTAAAAATAAAAGATTCTGAATTTCAAAAAAAAGAGAAAAATTTCTAATCCCTGGTTCATGGCCCCCTTAGTGCAGTCAGTCTTGGTAAAAGCATATTCTTGGGGCTGCTGAGATGGCTCAGTAGGTTCCTCAGGAGGTGAAGATTTACTGTCAAGACTGATGACCTGAGTTCAATCCCAGAACCCATATGGCGAAAGCAGAGAACTGACTACCACAAGTTGTTCCCTGACCTCCCCAACACATGTGTGCGCACACACACACACACACACACACACACACACACACACAGAGTAAAACTTTTGTCCATAATCTAATGTAAATAATAATAGTAATTACTATTATCAGTCCCATAGGATTTGAGATTTAATTTGATGATTTCTTTTTCTCTTTTTGTTACATAAATCTATTATATCTGAATTTCAAATTTCTCTATAGCAAATCAATAAACCTAAAGCTATCAGAGATTTCCCCACTGGCAGTGAAGATGTCTTCAAATTAATTCTAAGACTATTTCCCCATGGGAATTTTGAAGACCTGGGAATCATAGGCATATATATTCCATGTTTCTTTAACAAAAGACACACTCTCCAAAAATGGTTCTCTTTTCAGATTTCTGGAGCTGTGATGTCCCCAGGGCATAAAATTTCAAATTTCTCTATAGCGAATCAATAAACCTAAAGCTATCAGAGATTTCCCTCACTGGCAGTGAAGATGTCTTCAAATTAATTCTAACACTATTTCCCCATGGGAATTTTGAAGACCTGGGAACCATAGGCATATATATTCTATGTTTCTTTAACAAAAGACATACTCTTCAAAAATGGTTCTCTTTTCAGATTTCTGGAGCTGTGATGTCCCCAGGGCATAGATTTTTATATAGCTTTTTTGCTACCCAAAGCTTCTTGTAATAATTCTCTTGCTTGACTGAGAAATATTTAACACAGCCCACAGTGGCTCTTTTCATTACTCCAGAAATGTGACATGTCATGGGCACTATCAGCTCGCTAAAGTAAGAGAGAATCTGACTGGCAGGCTATATGGGCACTGTCCTTCAGGTTTGTGTTTATTTGAAAACTGAAATCATGGGCAGCAGAGATGGCTCAATGGTTAAAAGTGCTTCCTACTCTTGCAAAAGACCAGCTCCCAATCTCCTGTAATTCCAGCTCGGGGAGGGTCAGATGCCCTTTTCTGGCCTCTGTGGGCATTTGTTCATGTGTGCACATACACACACACATGTACACATATACATATAATCAAATAAAGGAAATCTTTAAAAAGGAAACTTCAAGATGGCTCAGTGATAAAGAGCTCTTGCAGAGGACCTGGGTTCAATTCCCAGCACCCACATGGCAGCTAACAACTATCTGTAACTCCAGTTCCAGGAGGTCTGATGCTCTCTTCTGACCTCCACATGCGTTGCATGACACGGGTACACTTACACACATACAGGCAATACACTCATATACATAAAATAAAAATAATCAATAAAATATTTTTTAAAATAAAAAAGAAACTTCAAAGTCAAAGCCACTTGCTCTCATAGTCCCTTCAGCAGCTAATAAAAAACAGGCCTAAAAGATGTCAACAATGTTAAATGTTTAGGGGCAGTTTTTGAGATCTTGGGCAATCTGAGACAGGAGTTTGAACATCTTGAGAGTTTGACTTTATTTTGATGCCGGCAGTGCAGAGCAAGCACCATGTGTCGTACATTTCATTCATGGAGCGTGTCACAAGCTAACGGTGCCTGTCTGAAACTCTTGACCAGAACTATTTTGGATTTTGGGTTTTTTTTTTTTCTGATTATGGGATATTTATATATCGAATGAGGTAACTTGGGGATAGGACTCAAGTTTAAACCCGAAATTCACTCTTGTTTTATTTACACTTTATATACAAAAACCGAAGATAGATCTCCTATAATATTTTTAGTAACTATTATGAAGTTTCGTAGTGTGGATTTTCTACTTGGGTGCCATGGCACAAAAAAGAACATCAGATTTTTCTGATTTTGAAGCATTTTGTGTTTCTGGGTTAGGGATGCACCACTTGCAGTATCTGAGAAGACGAGAGCAAGCAAACCAGGACAGACAAGTAAATGGAGCTTGTATGGGAGACTTCAAGCCATTTGTTCCTGTCTATAGCCCACAGGTGCCACATTGATAAAGAAGAGAACAGAGGCAGTTCAGGTAGTGATTGTCAGTATTCAGGGCAAGCCAGGCCTGGTAGACTCACCTGCAATCCCAGCACTTGGGAAGTAGAGACAGGAGTATCAAAAGTTCAGGGTCATCCTTGGCTACACAGGTGAATTTGAAGACCAGCCTGGGGTACATGAGAAACCTGCTTCAAGAACCAAAAATTAAATAAATAAATGAGTGACTTTGTAAGTTACATAATTTTGGTATCCACCTCTCCCAGTCTAGACCTGCTTTGGAGTATTTTTATTGCACAAGTCCTACAGGATGTCACCCTTTTTACAGATTTGGAATTCTGGATCATTGTCCAAGCACTCCCAGGCCTCATGCTGTAGGTGGGCACACATCTGGAGAGCCGAGAGCCGCTAGGCTCAGTCTCCCACCGTAGTCTTACAGGATTCAGTGTTGTGGGCTCTCGGCTTTCCTTAGAAAATTCTGGGCCTAGCTTTTGACAGGACTTTAACAGTTACCTGAACAGATGGAGAAAGACTCCTATTAGTCATTTCCTAGGTTTTTTCCCTTACCAATCCAAAACATTTCTCATAATATCCACAGTTTTAGATACTCAGCTTTAGAAATGAAAAACAAAACAAAAACAGCCAACCAAATTCCACTTGCTCTGTGCCATTTGGAGGAGCCATGCATGACTGTGTGGTAAAAATAGTCATTTGGACACCCTGTAGATGATCAAGACGAGGGTGAAACGTTTGAATAGACTGCAGTATTTTACAAGTGCTGCACTTCTGCTGATAATTTACCGATAACAGATTTATTGTGATGGAATTCAAATATCATCAATTCACCCATTTAAAAGCTACATGTAGTTTTGACAGCTGACCGTCCTGATGGCTTAATAATGGAATGGCAGCCCTGTCTAATGACAGCACTGACAGTGACTAACACCAGACTCCATTCTGCCTTATCTATTACATTTCCATGACTATGACATGATGTGGCATCCAGTCCCATTTAAGACTGAGTACTGAATGAGGTTCCGCTTCTATTAAAGAAATGTTAGTGTCAGAACATCTCTACTAGAATGCTATTTAGGTGATCCATAGCTATGGTGACTGTCCAACCACTATTATTCAATCAACAATGGGATAGTATACTTTTCTTCATTTAAAACATTGCTTAAGAGGCAGGCATTTCTCTGTGAGTTCAAGGCCAGCCTGGTCTACATAGTGAGTTCCAGGACAGCTGGAGCTACAGGGAGACCCTGTCTCAAAAAGACCAAAAATTTAAAAAAAATAAAACATTGCTTAGTGAGTTCCAGGTCAGGCCAGCCAGAGCTACATGGTGAGACCCTTTCTGAAAAAGCAAAGCAACACAAAAAGTGCTTTTAAAAAATTGTAATTAGTAGTTTTTAAAGTTACTCTTTTGATTTGCACACAGACATAAGAAGGTTTAATACTAGTTTAAACTGCTTAACCCCTGGATTAAGCTAAATGTTTCTTGTTTGCAGGGAGCAGCTGCAGAGGACGGCCAATTAAAGCGAGGTGACCAGATCTTAGCTGTGAATGGCGAGTCCTTAGAAGGTGTCACTCATGAGCAAGCTGTCGCCATTCTTAAGCAACAGAGAGGGACTGTGACCCTAACTGTGCTGCCTTGAGCCAGGTCCAGATCCTGACATAGAGTTTGTTAGAATATCCACAGGAAGAGGAAGTTCCCAATTAGGATGAAATGTCACCTCAACTGAAACCCAGCGTCAAGGCTCACTGCCTCAGCCTGCTGCTGTGTGCAGAGGGCCAGGGTTTTAGGAGGATTTTCCAAGCCAACAGTGATCTGTCCTTGTAATCAGTACCCAGCTTCTGTCTCTTGATGAGGTGTAATTTCTAAAGGCTGAATTGGCTCACCTGTTCTGCACTTGCCAATGATATCTCCCCACTAGTAGTAACTGGCTCTGATTCTGTTTGCCACAACATTCTTGAGTTGTCATCCTGCCTGTCCCTTACACACCCTATTGTTCACACAGAGGCTTAGCCACAAGCTCTGGTTTCTTCTGAGCAAAAAAACAAAGATTTTACAACTCACTCATGATTTACTCATGCTGATTTGTCTCCAAATAAGCCAGAAAACATTAGCAGTGCAATCAGCTTCCCCACAGTGAACTGCCATGTTCTCCTAAGGGAAATGACTGCTTCCTCTTCTGAAACTCAGCGTCAAATGAGTCTCACATTCATGTCTCTGGATAGATCTCTGTTAGTCACTGGTGGTTTTGATGATTCAGGTTGCAGACTCTCATCTTCTAAAAATTGTGAGACTTTCTAGCTGTTTTCTGAGCTACACAACCACATACTGCTGAGCAAATGCACCTTGGTCTCCACAAGAACAAGTAATCTTAGTGTTCTGAAGTCTGACCATGCCAGCTTAACTGGTATCTGAGATGCTCATCCAGAGTGATGGGCAACTCAGCAGGCTGGTGTCGCCCATTCCCCATCCTGCAGTTTTCAGGTGAGTTGGGAGCCCCAGACACACATCAGCAAGTGTGGGTGGCCTTGGTCATGTTCAGGTTGAGTGACAAGGCTGAGTCTCCTTAACTGCCCTCTGTACCAGCTGCACAGCAGCCAGGCCGCAGCAACTTGCTTGGCTGTAAAGTAGCTGCTCCAACAGCCTGATCCTAGGAATCAGCCACAGAAATGCTTGGCTGGTGTTTCCCAGTCTCCACCCCAAGTGGGCGGAAGTTCTGCGTGCTAAGAAAACTGAGGTAGAAAACTGCAGAATACTTGTGGAGCTGATTATGGCCATTCTCCACGAACCAGCAGGCAGGAGGGGGAGATGCTTGTCAGTGAGCATGCTACAGAATCTTCTGTTTAAAACAAAGTACTCTGGATGGAGAGCGGCTCAGTGGTCAGGAGCACTAGCTGCTCTTGCAGAGGATCCAGGTTCAGTTCCCAGTACCCACATGGTGGGGCTAACAACCATCCACAATTCCAGTTCCAGGGGATCCGATGCCCTATTCAGTAACCTCCACAGGCAATGCAAGACAGGAGTGTGCTTACATACAAGCAGGCAGAACACTCATACACACAAAATAAATGAATAGGTTTTAAAAATGTTTTTTAAAAAAGTATTAGTCACTTTTCTGTTGCTCTAATAGAAACAATGACCCAAGCAATTTATAGAAGGAAGGGTTTATTTGAACTTATGGTTCCAGGGGAATTACAGTCCATCATGGCAGGGAGGCATGGTGGCTGGAGGTGGCTGGAGCAGGAGCAGCAGAAGCTAAGCTCTGACATCATCACGCAGACACAGGAAGAAAGAGAGCAACTGGAGATCTGGCAAGGCTTACGAACTCTCTAAGCCCACCCCCAGTGACATGCGTCCTCTAGGATGGCCATACCTTCTAAAACCTCCCCAAACAGCCCCACCATGTGGGGACAAAATGTCCAAATACTTGGAGCCTATGTGGGACGTTTTCATTCAAACCATCACAAGTATCATAAAGGATAAGAGTAGGGACAGTAACAATATCATTTACAACTCAGTGCTGCAGCTTATTCATAGTAATTACCAAAATTTAATGGGCCCTAATCTAAAATGTTAATTACTAGAGATTTTAACTGAGAATTACCTTCTAGTAGATCACAAAGTGCATTAACTCTTGTTGGAATATTTTGTGGCTATTCCAAAGTATAGAGTGCCTCTATTTTAGGTTGACAATGTGTTTCATGACTGGTATTGACTCTCTTGAGATTCCATAGGATTTTTTAGAATCTAACACATCCAAGATAAGTGATGTTGTTAGGATCTCGGTTTCCAGTGCATGAGAAGCCTTGAAGTATTCTGTGTTGATTGTATTTACATGAACACCTTAGGCTGTCAGGATGGAATGAAGCCCCAATGAAACTTGAAAATGCACCTTAAATGCATATATGTAATACTTTTGAATGTGATTCTACTTAATTTTGATGGAATGACCATTAAATACACATTTTGAAATAATACACTGTTGCCTGTTTCTTTACACATCGTCGTTTTAGGGTGTGCTATTTAAAGTTTATTGATGGGGCCGGAAAGATGGCTCAGTGGTTAAGAGCACTGGCTGTTCTTGCGGAGGACCCAGGTTCAATTCTCAGCACCTACATGGGCAGGGAAATCTGATGCCCTCTTCTGGCCTCTATGGGATTACATGACATGGGTGCACTTACATACATGCAAACAGAATGCCCATACACATAAAATAAAAATAAATTCTTTTAGAAAGTCTGTTGATGAAGGAACTGTGATGTCTTGTGCTTCTTGCTGAAGGAACTTGACCTAAGAGTGATTCTTCTAACTGGCCCTGCTTCTGCCTCCTGACTAGTGAGTAACTGCCGTGCCAAAAAGTTGTTTTTTATATCATAACTTACTAGAAACTAAGAAGGTGGTGATTTGGGAAAGTAGTTTTCTTATAATCATATTGGGCCATTTAAGTATAGTAATATCATTAATTGGAATTAGCTCAAGAGAGAAACTAGGAAAAATAAAACAGTCAAATGTTTTCAGATATTTCTAAAGATTCTAAATCAATTCAGTTGCCTAAGAATCAAATACAGACATTATGTATGACAGGCATGTCTAATTTCTGCATCTGATCTTATGTTTTCTTCAGCTCAACTTTCAGTGTCCTGTTAAAATCTGAAACCTGGGCTGAGGATGTAGCTCAGTTGGTAGAGTGGCTGCCTAGCATGCAGGAAGCCCTGGGTTTGATCCCTAGCACAGCATAAGCCAGATGTGGTGGTCCATGCCTGCAATTTCAACACTCAGGAGGTGGAGGCAGGACGAGGATCAGAACTTCAAAGTCACCCTCATCCACAGCTATAGCAAGTTTGAGACCAGCCTGGACTACAGGAGACCCTGCCTCAAAAAACTAAAAATAAGTGTGTTGACTGCCAGCTGTGCTGTTGGGCATTACAGAGAACCCATGCAGTGGCTCAGAGGCTGAGGCTCCGCATCACACTGCTAGGGTTAGACTCTGGGCTTACTAGTGTGTGTCCTGCTCCAAGTCATGTCATCACCTTGAATTTTAGGTTTTTTTTTTACGTTTATTTATTTAGTGTATGAGTGACGGGGGAGGGAGAGAGAGAGAGAGAGAGAAATATGGGCCATGGTGTATGTGTGGAGGGAGGTCACAGGATAATTGGCAGGAGTCAGTTCTCTCCTTCCACCTTGTGAGTTCCGGGTATCAAACCCAGGTTGTCAGGCCTTTACCCACTGAGCCATCTTGTCAGTCCAACTTTAATTTCTTCAATTAGAAAGGGAGGCAAGACGCAAGAACATTGAGTATACAATCAAAATAGAGCCCTTAGTGCAGTGCCCAGCTCCCATTTTACTGATCTGGGGTCTAGTCTGAGCGCTGGGAAGTTAAAATGTCCCCAGGTGATTTTAATGTAAGTAAAGCTAGAATTTGCATATCTAATTAAGCACCTGATTGGTGCACTGGATAAAGTCCAACCTCAGGATGGCTGTGAGTTCATTTTGCTTCCAACCCAACCTCTAATGGCAGCATTAAGTCTAGTCTCATGAAATGCATCCCAGCATAACCCAGGCACCCTCATCAAGCCTTTGTACTCACAGTTCACGAGAACACATAGCATTCTCCAGAACCCATGACGGAAGGAGAGAACTGACTTCCAAAAGTTCTCTTCTGACCTCCACAGGCACGCAGTGGCATGTGTGCACGTGCATTCATGCACATATCATACACAACCACACACAATAATAATAAAAATTATTTAAGAAATGAATTTCAAGGGCCAGTGAGCTGGCTCAGTGGGTGAAGGCATTTGCCACCAAGCCTTACAACCGGAGTTCAGTCCCTGGAGTCACATGGTAAAAGGAGAAAACTCTGTGTGTGTGTGTGTGTGTATACACACCTGTGCACACAGTAATAATCTTTTAAAGGGATTGGGTTTTGTTCCCTGTTCTGGGAAAAAAAAAAAAAAACAGGGACAGATATATCAAACATATATATAATTCAAAAAGAAGCCAGGCATGGTGGTGCACGCCTTTAATCCCAGCACTTGGGAGGCAGAGGCAGGCGGATCTCTGTGAGTTCAAGGCCAGCCTGGTCTACATAGTGAGTTCCAGGACAGCTGGGGCTACAGGGAGACCCTGTCTCAAAAAACAAAAACAAAAATAATAATAAAAAGAAGAAGAAACAACTGAGCCAGTGTCTGGGCCGACCAGGACATTGGTGTTGCCCACCCCCCACACGGTTCTGTTCCTCACCTGAGTTTGAGAACCTAGAGCACTAGCCCCTTTTTCTTTGTGGTGCTGTTAATCTGCATGGAGCAAACTACCACTGAGCTACCCGCCCTCCTCAACCCCAGTGCTACCCTTTTTCCTTCTAGTCTGCACAGACTAGACTCTGCTTTGGGTAAATACCAGTGATCTCCAACTGTAAGAAACAGGAAAGCTGGTCGTCGTGGTGCACACCGTTCATCCCAACACCCAGGAGCCAGAGGCAGGCAGATCTCTGTGAGCATAGTGAGCTCCAGGCCAGCTGGGGCTATAGCAAGACCCGTCACACAGCAAAACAAATAAAAGAAGCAGAAAGGAACATAGATCTCCCTTACTGTCTTGAACCAGAGGCACATTAAGCTAGACAACAGCTGCCACACGTCCAGCAAGTGGGTATAACACAGCTCCCACACATCCAGAAATTTCATCTAGTTGCCACTGTCTTATGGGGACCATGGTTCTCAATCCTGACTACACATTAAAATCACCTGGGGACATTTTAAAATTTCCTGTGTCCAGGCTAGACCTTAGACCAGTTAAGGGAACTAGGGATGGGGAGAAAGTTGTACAAAGAACTGTACATTGTTTTGTTTTGCTCCACACTCACTAGAGAGTTGTCATGTATAGCCAGAATTAAAAACAATTTTTTTTCTTTTTTTACTATTTCTTTTTTTTTTGGTCTTTTTGAGACAGGGTCTCCCTGTAGCCCCAGCTGACCTGGAACTTGCTATGTAGACCAGGCTGGCCTCAAACTCACAGAGATCCACCTGCCTC